ATTTATCAGGCTCAGTCACTGGACAAGTTGCTCTGGTCAGGGATCATATATAAACCCATTTATGTAAAGGCCATTATTTATTCTGTACAAACTACTAAAAGCAGGTGTGATTGCAATGTGTTTGCTCTGAATGTGAATTAGTTTAACAGAGTAAAGTTTCATCCACAACATAAGGCTACTGCTTTAAGACTATCAATAAGGAGAAAACAAGAACAAGTTTTAATGACACGTTTATATAAAAAAATTAGCATCCTTTCACTATGATACGTGTACAACAAAGTACAGTACAGTTTTGAGATACATCCCACATATTCTTTGAAAGGGGGTTACAAATTCACAAAGAAATAATATTGCTATGCAAGTGCTTATTAAAAGTAATAAAAAGAACAGAATAAACAATTTATGCTCTAGAAGTCTGAGATTCGTTGTTTACCACTGGAAATTGCTTAACACAGTGTTAGAATTTAAAGCTTTGACCCCGCAAAAGAATTACCAGGCACAGTCACAGCTCATGCACGGAGCTGCTGCAGTCAGCCACAGGTCAATGTGCAGGAAAAGTCCTTCAAGAACTGGGGACTGAAAAAGTTTCTGGCCTAACCATTAAAAAAGTAACACGGGGATGGGAGAATGGAGGTTCTTGGTCCACCAGTTCTCTCAAGGACCCTTCCTAAGCTTTTCTTTGCTCTGATAAGAAGCTAAACTCTAACAGAAACATTGTTATTTGTCACTGTTAGATCAACACTGTGAAGACACGATGGCTCCAGAATATGTCTTTGGCTCTTCTGGGAAGGACATAAAGGTATAATTTCCATGTTTGTCCCGTTGGCAACTCCTGATACTATGATGGTTATTACTTACACAAACAGAAATCTGCAGCCAATCAAAATAATATGGTTGGCAAGAAATCTGGGCAAACTTTAATAGCTACGGTTCTTCAACATAAAAAGGATAAAAGTAGAATAATAATTTTTGGCAGGGGAAGCGGAGAATTTTAAAAATTCTGATTGTTTTCCTATGAGGATAGTGTTATAAATACTGAAGTCTAACTTAAAACATGTTGTTCTGTTTCATGAATTCACATTGAGTAAGATTCTGCTGGACCCATCGAGTTACACTCAACTCCTTTCCACTCTTCTCGAACTGAAGTTATCTGGAATACACAACAAGGTAAGAGAGTGGGATTTGGCACAGAAACTGCATGGTCGAAATAATTTAAATGCCTTTCTGAAAGGAGTTATCTGTGCATGCAAGTGTGTTACAGTGGAATACACAGAGCGCTCTTTTCAAGAAAGCATAATTAACTTCAGTCTTCTGGGAAATGGAGAGCCAAGAAAGGCATTTACCAAGTGGAAGATGGACATGAATTTAAATATAAAAACCATTTTCACTGAAGTTTCCGCTTTCATTTTCAACAAGCTCCAGTGCTATGTTTAGGACAGTATCAGCCTGACAGTTTTTCACTGGAATCTGATGAAGCAAATAAGCAGAGTTATATTATTTTAGTAGTAAACAAACTCACGTACCACAAAATGAATCTATGGAAAAGTTAATTTAGTAGCTTTTCCATTAAAAAGTACATGCTGTCTAATAAAGACTATTTTGTAGGCACAGAATTTAGGTAAATTTGTTAATCTGCAGTAAGGAGCACCATCAAAACATATTAAAGACATCACAAGGAAGTAAACTTCCTTAATTAATAGCTAATGATGTAGTTTTGGCTCTTCTTCTAGAAAATTACATCCTGTAAACATTTTCCCTGCCTTGTGAAAAAAAGTAAAAACCTTCATAAATAGAGAACCAAGAAAAGACATTCAAAACTACCCCATCAAAAGCAATCCTTTAATATTTTTGAAATATTTAATCTTGAGTTTTTTACCTTTATATGATGGTACTTTGTTTTGGAACAAAGTCATATTAAGTCCCAAATCAGAATGATCTGTTTAACGGCACTGAAGTGAACTTCTTTTCCCAAGGCAATAACATAAAGAAGCTAAGAAGGATTTTGAAGGAGGAATGAATAAATAAGACCACTGCATGTGAATGGTTTTGTAAGAATTGGCATTTTCCAATTTAAAAGAAAGTTTGCTGAAATATTTCCCAGGCAGATCTACCTGGGCCTCTAATTCATTGGCACAGGCTCAGTATCAGTCACTTAAAACATGTGTTTCATCATGTACCTAAAAAATTGTGACATTCTTTAAAAATACTTAATACAAAAATCTTTTATTTCCTTTATACTACATATTTACAATTCTATTATCAAGGTACTGTGGAAAATGTAAACAAGTATACACAGGTGTAAATAATATGGCTTAAGAAAGGTTTCCCTTTGATTAGCTGCTCTAATCACGTATCAGTATACATAGATAAGAAAAAAACCCAGTACATTTTATAAACTGCCATCAAACAACAAAATGTAAGTTCTTGGGTTTTATGCATTAGCTGCTGAGTAACC